TTTTTAGACATCTTCATTTTATGTTTATTTTATGTTCCATTTCCATTGTATTATATGCTACTTCTACTGATTTTTTTGTTTGAAGCTTCTGTTGGGGTTAGTATGATAGACTGTTTTTTTGTGGCCCACTGAGAAGTCTGATCTTAAACCTGTCCCTGTGAAACACATTTTTACTTTCCTTCTCCACATTGTACACTTATGGGTTACCTATGTATATTTTTGTTACTGTTGATTTACAATGGTTCCTTTAGTCTTTCATGTGTTGATAAATTCTTTTAGCTTTTGCTTTTCAGTGATGCTCCTTACCTTTTATTCTGTCTTGAATGCTGGTCTTGCAGGTTGAATGCTGGTCTTGCAGGGTAAAGGATTCTAGTCTGAAAATTTTTAGGTATTTTAAAAGTATCTCTTATCATTCCCTTCTTGTCTTGGAAGGTTTGTACTGAAAAGTCCACAGACAGTTTTACTGTTGTCTCCTTATAAGCTGCTCTTTTTTCCTCTCAGTGCTTTTAATAGCTTCCCTGTCACTGGCTTTCAACAGTCTTAAATTTTAGACTGTGTGAGTTTGGTGTTTTGGAACATTTGGGGCCTCTTGGATCAGGTCATCTGGTTCTTTCCCCAAGTTGAGATGGTTCTCATTAATTATCTTTTTCAGTAAAATTTTCTGTGTGTTTCTTTTTCTTTTCTCCTGCTGGGACCACAGTGATATAGATGTTACTTTTCTTTATGTTTTTTCTTTTCTTTTTTTTTTTTTAAGATTTATTTATTTTTATTTATACAAGCACTGGGTACAGTCAGAAGCGCAGGAGGGTGAGAGAATTCACCAGAGCCGGAGCAGGGAACAGAACAGGCAGATGGACGAAATACACTGCTGAGTGGACCAGTGGGCGCGGCAGGAGAGGTCTGCGTGCCATGTGGGACCCTCACCCAGCGGCCGGGGATCAAACCGGTGCTGCAGAGGCTGCAGGCAGCTTTGCAACGCAGCGCTCAACCACTGTGCCACCGGAGAGGCCCTTTTCTTTGTTTTTTCAAAGAGCTCTTAAACCGTTTTCATTTAGAAAAGGATTGGGGGCTTTATTTTTTTTTTATTATTTTTTAATGAAGTACCATTATTTTATATCCTTGTAAACTTTTTGGCAGTATAGGATTTCTTCCCTCAGGTGTGGTCACCATAGCATTCTCACCACCATAGTCCTCCACTATAGTCCATTGTGCTGTGCTGGTTTCATCCCTCCTCTTCTCCCCACCCCCTTCCTGGATGTCTCTTAATTCTTTTATCTTTGATGTTCTGTTTGTTCTCTGCCATTGTGCTTTCAAGCTTCCTAATTCCATTACTTGTGTTGTCTAATGCTGAGGCCCTCTATTGTACAATGTTAGCTTTGGTTATAATATTTTTTAGACCCATTAGTTCTAATTTTAATAGTCTCTTATTTTTTCCCTCTTTATTGTGTTCCCGTTTTACATCATCCATTATTTTTCTTAATTCAGCAAACATTGTGATAAACATTACCTTAAACTTTTACTTAGACATATTCCATAGATCTGCTGAATTAAATATTTTCTCAGCATTTTTTGTTCTAGCATTTGTGATACGTACTTTTGTCTCTTCATTTTTAGTTTTTATAGATTGTAATATAGACATTCCTTTTTTTAGATAATTGACTTTATACTCTCCTCTAAGAAGCACAGAAGTCATTTGTTTATCTTTCAGGGGTTGTTGACTTTGCTACAGTTTAATTGTGAATGTGTAGAAGAGGTGAGCAGAAAAATCTGCTGCCATTTTGCCGGACTGTCTTTACATATATTCTATCAAGTTAACATATATGCTTGCTATCATCCACTATTTTAAGACTGTCACATAGACTCACCACTATACAAATCATTAAGAGGGCTTAGAATTAGGTAATTAAAAGTGAATACTGTATAAGTTAAAACCAAGCAAACTTGAAAACAAAGCGAACTTTCATCACTTAACGTTTGAATACAAAATTTACATATTGCTGAAAATGTGGCAATAATGTGCGCAGCAAAGACTTTACAGCTAAACTAACTAGAACCATCAGGAGTATTTTACCCTAAGGTATCTCTAAGACTAGTTGGAGTTGCATTGCCTTCTGGAACTCAGGAATCCCCCAGAATTGTCATCTAGCATTCCGATGACTAGCATTCCAATGACTAGCATTCTAGAAAAGCAAATCATTTTTCTTTTCTCCTGCATCTGTAGCTTGTAATTTTCTCCAAAAATGACTCAATAGAACTGGGAAGAAGTCATTGATTTTTGTTGATACCAGTAGGAGGGTCTTACCCAGGCTCATCACTACACGCTGTCCAGTCAGACCAGGTCAGGAGAGGAGACCAGAAGCATTCTGAAAATTCCAATAAATCATATGCTTTGTGATCCCAGTAAGAATTGTCTGACTAGCTAAGGGGCTTAGTATACTCCTCTACCTTCTCCCCCACATGGACTCCAGCTGTTCTGGCCTCTGTAGGACCATGAAGGAATAAGGACCATGAAGAGAATACATGACCAGGACATGGTAAAAACATCCCCCATATCCATGTCTGAACCCTTGTAGTCATACTGGGCCAGTCCTGGTACTGGGCAGGAAGGAGAGCTCTTAGTACCAATATTGTGGTTTCTTCAGGGCCACAGTGTGTTTGTGGTCCAACTGACTTTGCACGGCAGTGGACAGAGGAGTGCCCCTTGCCTTCCTGAAGAAGAGTATTCAGTTAATAGGTCACATTTTCAGGCCATTTGGAGACAGTGATCTCTCCTACCTCCTGGGATCTGAACACTGGGATCTCAGAAATTTTTTGATGTTTGGACATGCCACAGTTTTCCTGTCCACCTGATATTCACATGAAGTCTGTCAGCTCTTTTTAACATTAAGATTGCCCAACCACTAGGTATGGCAGAACCATCCAAATCCCTCATCTGAGGGTCTCCTCCCTGCATAGAGCTAAGCAGTGTCCCCGGCCAGGGAGCTACCCACATGACGCAGCAGACCTCTCCTCTCTTGCCCGCTGCTCCCCTCAGCAGTGTATTTTAGTCAGTCTGCCTGTTCTGTTCCACATTCTGCCTCTGGTGAATCCTCTCACCCCCCACACTTCTGGCCTGTGTACCCCAGTTCTTTTATGCATAAATAAATAAAAATTTTTTTTAAATGTTTCTAAGATCTTTTTGGGTTTTGTGTATGGTGTAAGATAGTCATCTAGTTTCATTCTTTTTTTTTTTGCATGTAGCAGTCCGGTTTTCCTAGCATTACTTGTTGAAGAAAGTATCCTTGTTCCAGTGCCATAGTCTTTGCTCCTTTATCATAGATCAGTTGACTATATATGTGTGGCTTTATGTCTGGGTTTTCAGTTCAATTCCCTTAGTCTATGCATCTGTTTTTGTTCTAGTACCATGCTGTTTTAATTATTACGGCTTCGTATTAGAGTTTGAAATCTGGGCATGTAATGCCTCCATTTTTCCTTTTTTTAATCAGGAGAGCTTTGGCTATTTAAGTTTTTGTGTGATTCCATATGAATTTCATCAATATTCTTTTTCTTTGAATAATGCCATTGAGATTTTATTGGAGTTGCATTGAATCTGAAAATTGCTTTTGGTAGGATGACCGTTTTGATAATGTTAATTCTTCCAGTCCATAAGCAGGGAATGTCTTTCAGTTCCTTTGTGTCTTCTGTTTCTTTTATCAATGTTTTGTGGTTATCTTTGTATAGGTCTTTCGCGTCTTTGTTAGGTTTAGTCCCAGTCTTTAATTTTTTTTTTTTTTTAGTACAATTGTGAATGGGATGATTTTCTTGATTTCTTTCTTTTTTTCAGATAGAGTATTTGCATATAAGAATGCTACTGATTTATTTTTTTTTTAGATTTATTTATTTATACAAGAACCAGGGTACAGGCCAGATGTATGGGAGGGTGAGAAGATTCGCCAGAGACAGAGCAGGGAACAGAACAGGCAGACTAATGAAATACACTGCTAAGGGTGGGACCCTCACCGGCAGGTCAGGATCGAACCCACGCTGCAGAGGCTGCGGACAGCTTCACAGAGCTGAGCTCAACCACCTGCGCCACCAGGGAGGTCCAAGAATGCTACTGATTTTTATGTGTTGATTTTGTAACTTGCTACTTACTTGAGTAAACTGGTTTATTGTTTTAGTTTTTCTGTGGAGCTTTTCAGGTTCTCTAAATATGTACTCATCGTCTGCAAATAGTGATAGTTTCACTTCTTTCTCTATATGGATTCCTTCTATGTCTTTCTTTTGCCTAATTGCTCTGACCAGGACTTCCCATATTATATTGTAAAGCAGTGGTTCGAGTGGACATCCTTGTCTTATTTCAGATCTTAAAGGGAAGGCTTTCAGTTTCTCACCATTAAGAATGATACTGGCTGTGGGCTGCTTGTATGTGGGTTTTATTAAGTAAAGGTATGTTCTTTCTATTCCAAGAATTTTGAGGGCCTTCATCATAAATAGATGTTGTATTTTATTAAATGCCTTCTCATCATCTATTGATATGAACATATGTTTTTTTTTTTTTTTGTTGTTGATGTGGTGAATTACATTAATTGACTTTTGGATGTTGAACCATCCTTATACTTACCTCTAGGGAAAATTGACTCTCCTCCCTCCCTTCATCAGTGACCTTGGGTTTAAAATGTGTACCTAAGCCACTTCCCTTTTAATTTCTCAAGCCCATCCAGACAAAAAATCAGTTCCATTAATAGAGCCTTTTTTTACTTTGCTTTGGTCCCGTTACAAACTCCCAGCTACTGCCTTTCTCCTGCCCAACTCCTAACTGCAATTTTGAACATGGCCTCCTGGTAATTCTTGAGCCTAAACATCTGGAAGACCAACTATCTTTTAATTGTACTTCTGTTCCTCCCTGAATGGCCTCATGATTTTTTTTATTTTAGGTAACGTGAAATATGTGATAATGTGATACTCAGGAATTTTTTTCTTCTGCTTTCTTTTGGGATGACATCTCTGTCTGCATACAGCTGTCTTAACTGGACTATTTGGATAGTTTCAATGTGGCCCAAACTTCCCCACGTATATTTTCAGGTTGGTAATTTTATTTTCTTTTTCTTTGCCTATCATGAATAGATATATGATTGAAACACCTGTATGGAGAAAGTCAAAAACCTAATCAAGATTAGCATTTATTTGCTTTCAATTGGAAATTGAAATTTCAGCTAGGCTCTGTAAAGGGAGGTGTGTGTCCAGAAAGGCCTGTAATTTCTTCTGGGGAGCTAGTAGAGGGGCCCAGAGGCATTTGCTACCTCTATAAACTTAGGTCTGTATAAAGCTTTAGATCATTCAGACATAGATTGTTGCAGAGAAAATTGGGGTTTAGACTAGAGGCATGGGGGTGAAAGAATTCACCAGAGATAGAGTAGGGTACAGAATAGGCAGATTTATTGAAATACCATACAAGGGAGTAGGGGGGTGAGAGGAGAGCCCACCAAACACACTAAGAAGGGCTTGAGGATCTCTTTTATATTCTCTCAGTGGTTGCCAGTTTGTGCCAGTTATCTGTTGGGATGCCTGGCCTTGGGCATTGACCTTTTTGACACGATGTATCCTGACTCTACTTCCACATTCCTGGAGTTCTGCAGGTCCTGGTCAAGGTGATGGTCTTAGGCCCAGTTTCCATGGCAAAATTACCGATTTATCTACTCAAACTTCCCAAACTTGTTTGCTGGGTAGGGAGTGGGGCTTAGGTTTTAACCTTAGTAATCATACCCCAACATAGATCACATGGACTTTTTCTTATAAATGAGAGGCAGAATTGCTTTTGTTCTCTGTGTACTTTTGGATAATGCTCTGTGGGTGAGGAGCCTGTTTGCTCTCCCTCCTCCTTCCTTCACACCTCTACTAAATGACTGCAGTGCAATGTCCAGGAGATAGAGACATCAGGAAAAGTCCACGGTCAGCTGGTTCAGACAACTTATAAACTAATATTTTAGAAGACAGTGTAGATGAATCTGGAAATGTCACATCTACTTTGGATGCTAAACGCTATGACATATGAGTGTCCCAGCTCCAAATGACAACTTGAAAACTGCCCCAGATGCTGTTGCTTCTGCCCCTGGGAGTTGGCCATAACTGCTTGCAGACAATCAGTGAATTCTCTATTGGCCCATGGATTGGAATAACTAATGTGCTGGTGTAATGTTGGGGTGAGGCCAGAGTTGTAGGGTGAAAGAATTCACCAGAGGCCGAGTGGAGAACATATAAGACTGTTTTATTACAATACCCTGCAAGGACACAGGGGGAAAGATGGGAGAGGTCTGCATGGGAAGAAGAATTTGGGGCTCCCTTTTATAACTGTTTTTGAGGGCTTTTCGTGACTAGGAAGTAGGTCTCTGCTGGTTGTTAACGGCTACGATAACAGATTTTGGTGGGCCTTCTCTACTGGAGGTGTCCTACCTAGTTCTGTTTGCCATGTTACTGCATTCTTGGGAATTCTGGTTAGCCCTCTATTGGACATGTGGACCTGTGACCGGTTCCCATGGGAACTCTGTTTCCCTTTCTTATCTATTTTGTGTCTCCCAGCATTGTTCAGCTGAGCAGAGTACAGATACTAAATTATAACTATTGAATGATACCCCGACTACTAACTTCAGAATCTCAGGCTAGTGAGTACTGCAGAATGGCCATCAGTCTCTGATAAGAAATAAACTGCTGATGCAGTTCCAGAGGGCCATTTGGAATTATGTGCCTCTAATCAGGTCATACTCTTTAAGAAATATTTCTGTAAGTGGGCAAAATGTGGGCAGAATACCCAAGGCCCCCAAACCTTGCATGCTGTAAACCTTGCCGTCTACCTCATAAAGACAAAACATACTCTTAGTGTGTAAGGCTTCCAGTAGAAAAGAACCTCAATAGAATTAGTGTGCAACAGAAAGAAGAAAAGACAGTAGTTTCTAAATTAAACACCTAAAGTTAACCATCCCCTCGCAGATAAGTGCCTGGCCAAACAGGCTTTGCCCAAAGTGGGATCACTGAGGTCCAAAAGCTTGTCACAAATATGAGGCATCTTCTGGTGGGAAACCATAGGAAAGAGGCAAAAAGGGCCAGGCAAGTTTAAAAGGAAAATAACAAAACCAAAATGCAAGTCAAGATAAAGGTTGCCATTGTCAGCCTCCCCAAGGATCTCTCACCCATGTCTTTTCCAAATGTCTCCTTCCATGTCCCCCAAGTCCCTGATGCAAGTCCAAAGGCCAAGAAGCAAGTGTGATTACTTCTTTACGTGTCTTTGCTCCATGAGCCACCTCCAGGTCTTCTCCCTCCTCCTCTCTGAAGTCTTCTTCCTAGTCTTTTCTAGGTAAACTTGTCGTTCAGCTCCATCTTCATTGAGTGGTTCAGGGTACCTGGAACCTCCCCTTTCTATGGGAATTAAACTGTTACATTTCTAAAGAAATAGAGGTTTTTTTTGTTTTTTTTTTGAGGAGAAGATGGTGAAGGAGAAGACAGACAGGAACCTTGAGTCATCGCTTTCCTCAGGAGTACTGAGGATAAGTACCTGGAGGGAGCAGCCACATCTAGAATGGAGCTGGGGAAGTGAGTCTCTGTGTCTTAAAAGGGAGAGTCAGAAGCCATCAGTGAGGAAAGGAAAAACTAAAAAACAGTAAGTCAAGAATAGTTCACTGGAAGGCCTATTGGTCCTTTCCTCAGTAGTCCTCTAGGCTCTCCCACCAGCCAGAACAAGAGAGCATACTTAACTGTGAGATCATAGCCTGTTCCACAGTTCAACAGAGGACACCCCAGTGACCAGAGACTGTTAGGCAGTGGAAAGAGCCATATGGGTCATCAGTAGGGGGGTTTGTGGGCTCCTAGGAATGTCTGTGACTGCACTAAGGAAGCTGGGAAGACCTTCCCCTTCTCCCACCTCTGTGACCCCCAGTCTACACTGAATGGGATGCCACAGTGAACTTGGTCTGCTTGGTAGTTTGCTTGTTCAGGACTTTCATGGAGCATATCACTTGTATAGACTTTTTGATGGGCTTCTAGACTGTTGCGCATCCCAGAGACTCTGGACACACCCACCGCTCCCCCTATCACTTTTGCAGGCCCTCTGAACTGTGCTCACAGCGAGGCTGCAAGCAAGGGAGCCTGTCTTACCCCAGGGTAGGGAAAAGAGCAACACTGCCAGGCATATCACACATAGACTTTACAGCAAGGGGCTTCCGACTATCAGGCTTCATAAGACTGATGTTCCCTTCCTTCCTCTGAAACCTCTGTACCTAAGTCCAGAATGTGTGGTCAGAAACTATAGGTAACTGCAGGAAACAGGCCTTTGAACAAATGACTTTCTGCTTGCTGATAGCCAGAATGGGGTATCAGTAACTTCTTGAAGATTGAAATCATAACCAAGTTTCCTTTGTGATCACAATGGTATCAAGCTAGAAGTCAACCACAAAAAGAAAGTAGGAAAAATTGCTAACATATGAAGATTGAGCAACACACTTCTGAACGATTATTGGATAAATGATGAAATCAAAGAAATTTTTTAAAGAGCCTAGAGATGAATGAAAATGAAGATAAAATTTGTCAGAACTCGGGTACAACAGAAGTGGTACTAAGAAGAAAGCATATAGCAATTCAGGTCCACAACTACAAACGAAGAACTTCAATAAACAACTTACCTCTCACCTCAATATGTTAGAAAAAGAATAATAATTAAAACCAAAAATAAGTAGAAGGAAGGAAATAATAAAAATTAGACCAGAAATAAAAAAAACGTCCAAAAGGTCAGTGAAGCCAAAAGCTTGGTCTTTGGGGGAAAAAAATCAACAAAATTGGCCCCTGGCTAGACTAAGGAAAAAAAAAAAAGAGAGAGAGGGCTTCCCTGGTGGCCTAGGGGTTAAGTCTCAGTTGAGGAGTCTCATTTGAGTCCCCAACCAGGGAGCTAACCTATATATGGCGTAGCAGACCTCTGTCTTGCTCATTGCTCCCCCCCAGCAGTGTCTTTCAGTCAATACACCTGTTCTGCTCCTTACTCTGCCTCTGATGAATCCTGTTAAACACACACACCCACATACCCTGCACCTCTGGTCTATGCCCCAGTTCTTTGATGCAAAATAATTTTTTAAAAAAATAGAAAAAAGGAGAAAAATATAATAAATAAAATTAGAAGTGAAAAAGAAATTACAAGGTAAGTATCATAAATACAGAAGGTCATGAAAGATTGCTACTAGTTCCTATATGCCAACAAATTGAATAACCTAGATGAAATGGAGAAATTTTTAGTAATCCATGACTCCAGTTCTCCAAGACACAACCAGGAAGAAATAGAAAAGCTGAAGTAACCAGTCACTTCACCCAAAAATTAACTCAAAATGGAGTAAGACATTGCCTCCCTGGTGGCGTAAGGGGTTAATAAGCACAGAACTGTGAAGCTATTTGCAGCTTCTACAGCAAAAGTTCTACCCCTGGCAGGCCAGGGAGCTACCCACCTGTCTCACTTGCTGCCTGTTCTGCTCCCCACTCTCTCGTGAATCCTGCACCTCTGGTCTGTACCCCAGTTCTTGTATGCATAAGTAAATAAATCTTTTTTAAAAAATGGACTAAGGCATGCTGTAAGTCTCAAGACTATTAGAGACATTAAAGAAAAAACAGATAAAATACTTCATGACATTACCTTCAGAAATGTCTTTGGTGATTTGTGTCCAGTGACAAGAAAAGCAAATGTAAACAGATCCTATTAAATCAAGCTAAAAATTAGCCTGTGCATGACAAAAGAATCTAGCTGTAAAACAAAAACACCCTACAGAATGGGAGAAAATACTTGAACATAAAACATCTGACAGAAGACTGGCAGCCAAAATGCATAAAGAACTCATGCAACTCAGCAAGAAAACAGTGCAATCCAAAAAATGGCAGAATTGCTAAATAGACAATTATCAAAGAAAGACATGCAGATGTCTACTAGGCCCAAGAGAAAATGCTCATCACCAGAGAAATCAGAATCAGAACCACAATAAGATACCCTTTCATACCTGTGAGAATGGGCCACATCAAAAGGTCAGAAACAACCAATCTTGATAAGGATGTGGAGAAAAATGACTCTCTGTACACTGTTGGGAATATAAATTGGTCCAGCCCTTATGGAAAACAGTGTTGCATTTTCTCAAAATACTAAAAATAGATATATTATATAACCCAGCAGTTCCATTCTTAGGTATCTACCTAAACAATACCAAAACACATGTATTCTTGTGTTCCTTGCATCCTAGTGACAATAGCTACATTATGGAAACAGTGTAAGTGCCCAGGGACACAGGAATGGATCCAAAAATTGTGGTAGATATTCAATAGAATCCCACACAGCTATTAAAAAAAAAAAAAAAGTATGTGCTGTTGTTACTTGTGACAACTTGGAAGTGGAAAGGGCAATGCTGAGCTAAATAACTGGGAAAGAGAAAGACAAATACCACAGTCTCACTTATATGTGGAATATAAAGAAACATGAGGGGTCTGTCAAAATCAAACAAATAATAAACTTTTAACATCTGACTGCAAAACTGAAGCAACCAGAGGGGGAGAAAGGAGGGTAGGAGTGGGGGAGTGAAGGAGCGCACTGGGATAGTGATGGAGGGTTGTTGGGGCACTGGTGGTGGGCAGGGTATGAAAATACCCATTATTAGAGGTTAAATATGTAGCCACCAAAGGAGATACAATGATATAAATCCACTTTATCTCAATAAACACAATGTGAAAAATAAAGGTACTCTTGGCTTAATCCCAAACATTTTGATCTCTGGTTCATAGCATTTTACAGTCATTTAAATATTTCCTTAACCAGATTTCTTTTTTTAAATGAAAGGCATCCTAATTATTTGGAATTTAATGGATGACATTTTCAGTATTTAATTTGTGACAAACATGATGTGTAATCATTTGTGGTTTTATGATTTTACTGCTTATAGTTTCGTAAACTTATCCCCTGAACAAAGGGGTAATTCTAATATTCATGGAAGAGACATGCATTATAACTAATATATTGGAATTAGTGTTTTTTTTTTTTATTTTCGTCTTCACCTGTCACATGCTAAGTTGCATTGTTGTACACTTGTAAGGTTTCTCATTTAAAATTTTTTGAAAGAAAAATGTCACCCAGTGTGCGGGTGTCCCTTAATCCTTCCCATCTGGGTTTTGTTGGAACTGAAGGAGGCTGTGCTGGGTCACATGGTGCTCTGTATTATTTACTGTCCTTAAGTGGTAATCAGAAACTTTACCCCGAAAGGGTAGGGTCAGTGCTCAGACACCTAGGTACATACTTCAAAGTGGGACTGGAATGAAATGAAGCAGCGAGTGGTTGTGGCTAAGATCGGGCCTGTGGCTGCCTTGCCATCTCCTCGGTGCCTGGCGAGGTACTCCTGCCAGCAGTGGCCATCCTGTGGTTTATGTCCAGTAGCACAAAGAAGAATCCAAGCAAACAGGACTGATGCCACAGCAGTGACTTTGGTCCCAAGTTGGTTTTCTGAAGGGTGAAGGTTCCATGGGGCTGCTTGTTTTTGCCTGAGAAGGATATCTTGTTCCTTGGCTATTTTGTTTCCCCAGGATAACTTTCAGAGCAGATTCATCAGGCTGAGCATAAGGGCACCACCTAGGCTTCTGGAACTGGCATGTCAGAGCCTGTTGAGGGATGAGACCTTGGCTATTGCTGCTTTGGAGGAGCTGCCCACGGAGCTCTTCCCGCCGCTGTTCATGGCAGCCTTCGCTGGAAGACACAGTAAGATTCTGAAGGCAATGGTGCAGGCCTGGCCCTTTGCCTGCCTCCCACTGGGGGCCCTGATGAAGGAACAGCAGCTTCACTGGGAGACTTTTCAAGCTGTGCTCGATGGACTCGATGTTCTGCTTGCCCAGGAGGTTCGCCCCAGGTGAGGGTGCCAGATAACCTGGTGGAGTCCTTAGAGTCGGAGCAAGATGGCTGGGGCCTGGGGTGGGCAGGGCTAAACTGAGGGCGGGGCAGATGCTTCTGCTGGTGCCAGTGAAGGTGCTCAGGGAGGCCTTTGGGACCATGGCTGGACTTACACTGGGAATAGACTTCCGGGCACATGGGGTTTGTTAAGGTGCAGAGGTTACTTGAAAGAACATATACCAGCCCCCTCCCAGGGAGCATCTGAGGAGCACGTGATAACCTGGCATCTGGATTGAAAGTATGGGCCAGTTGTCCGGTTCTTCCCTAGATTCTGAGATTTATGGTCATGCTCCCTATTGACCTTCAAGCATCTTCATCTGGTACTGTTTTCCTTGCAGGAGGTGGAAACTGCAAGTCCTAGACTTACGGAAGAATGCTCATCAGGACTTCTGGACTGTGTGGTCTGAAATCAGGATTGGCATGTGCTCATTTTTGGAGCCAGAGCTGGCCCAGCCCACAAGGAAGAGGCGAAAAGTGGAGGGTTCAAGGATAGAACCAAAGCAGCCTTTGGCTGTATTGGAGGTGCTCATAGATCTTTGCCTCAAGGATGGTACCCCCAATGAGTCTCTTATCTACCTCCTTAAGAAAGTCAAACAGAAGAAAGGTTTACTCCATCTGTGCTGTAGGAAGCTAAAGATTTTTGCAATGCCAATGCAAAATATTAAGAAGATCCTGAAAATGGTGCAGCTGGATTCTATCCAGGATTTGGAAATGAATTGCACCTGGAAATTGCCCACACTGGGGAAGTTTGCTCCTCACCTGGGCCAGATGGGTAACCTGCGCAGGCTTCTCCTCTCTCACATCCACATGTCTCCCCAAAACACTCTGGTGAAGGAGGAGCAGTGTATAAGCCAAATTACTTCTCAGTTCCTCAGCCTGCACCACCTCCAGGAACTTTATTTGGACTCCATCTCTTTTCTCAAAGGCCGCCTGGATCAAATGCTCAGGTGAGGGGTGGCAAGGTCTCTGCAGACCAGAGCTAATCCTTTTTCATTTCAGTTAATGACTGCGGCCATTGACAGTGCTGAGTCACTGGAGGGCCCACATGTTGCCTTTCCTGCTCTGTCCGCAAGTGTTGTTACATAACCACCCAGGTAAATGCTGGAGGTATGAAATGGTGATACTATTAGAAGGGACTCATTGTTTGGAATCTATATAATGGGGGCTTCAGGCCTGGTGAGAATGGCTTTGGGAATTCTTCCTGAGAAAGTGATGTCTAAGTAAAGATGATTGAAAATAATTGAGAAGGGAAGGGAAATCCCATCAAATGTAAGATTCATATGATAAGCATTTTGCTGCGGTGTCTGCAAATCTCTCTCAAATTGCCTGTCTGTAGAGGGTTGCTTTAGACTCAGGTAAGATTATATGTGGAAAATGTATGATTTTGGAGTGAGGGGAAGGTAGCACAAGTGAAGCCCCACGAAAAGTGAAAGATGGTTGGTGGAAATGCCCGTATCTGTCAGTTCCTGAGGGCTGGTGACCCTGCTGGATGCTGCCAGACCTTGCCCAGGGTGGCCTCCAGTGTGTCTTCCAGTAGCCTTATGGCACACTGGGATCCATTGACCAGAAGAAGCAAGTGTAGGTTGAAAGCATGTCTGGTTGTGTTCCCCCTCTTGTTTGAGAGATTGGGTAAGGCTCCCTTCCGAGCACCTCCTAGTATTTCAGCTCTTCTCCCCCACACCTGTATAAGAGGTATGTCGTCCTCTGTTTGACCAACGATCAAAGGGGATATTTAGGTTTCATTCACCTGGCCCAGCGTTGCAGCAGTGAAGTGATGGAGTCCACTGAGACTGCAAACTCTAGATGCTCTTCCTTTTTACCATGGCATCCTGGGAGTTAACTGTCAGCTAGATGATTTTGGTGAAATGGGTGTGGTGCCTTGTCCATTGAGGTCTGAGTTACCACCATTCCCTCTGCACACCACCTCCACTGCCCCAGCACTAACTGTTGCTACCTCTCCAGGTGCCTGAAGACCCCGCTGGAGACCCTGTCAATCACTAACTGCCTACTTTTGGAATCAGACTTGGTGCATCTGTCCCAGTGCCTGAATGTCAGCCAGCTGAAGGACCTGGATCTCAGTGGGGTCAACCTGACCTGTGTAAATCCTGAGCCCCTCCAAGTGCTGATAGAGCGAGCCTCTGCCACTCTCCAGGACCTGGACCTGGATGAGTGTGGGATCATGGACATGCAGTTCACTGCTATCCTGCCGGCCCTCAGCCGCTGCTCACAGCTCACCACCTTCAGCTTCTGTGGAAACCCCATCTCCATGTCCGTCCTGGAGGACCTACTGCACCATACCGTCGGACTGAGCAAGCTGAGCCATGTGCTGTACCCCGCCCCTCTGGAGAGTTACGAGGATGTCCGTGGCACTCTCCACCTGGGAAGACTTGCCCATCTGCATGCCAAGCTGAAGCAGATGCTGCACGAGTCAGGGCGGCCCGGCATGGTCTGGTTTAGTGCCAATCCCTGTCCTCACTGTGGCGACAGGACCTTCTATGATCCAGACCCCATTCTGTGCCCCTGTTACATGCCTGTGTAACTGGGTGCACATATAGTGTTAATCCTGGGCCCTTAGACACTGAAGCCCAGGTACAAGTTTATCTTGAGGGAGCACAGTTTTGGGGTAACTATTTGTTGCAGGGACGGGGTAGAAAGACGACTTAGAAGGTGAGAGATGTTTATATGGGAAGTTAATGGGATCTTTGGGGAGATGCATAACTATAGAGTTAGAAATACGAATCTGAATTTCTAAAGGGGTCTTGGGTCAGGGAAGTAGATGTGGGAGTTGTTTTTGTGTGGATGGTTGTAAAGAAATTACCAGAAATAAAGGGAAGTTCAGTTGTCCACTCTCGTGTCCTCTGATATATTAAGTTGATTCTCCAGTTTGAAGCTCAAGAATCTCAAATTACTAAATAAAGGACTAAGCGTCATATGTTGACACCACAGAAGGGTCAGCCTTAGGAGTTCTCCATTTATCATTTCCTCCATTGGTTCTCTCTGGGGAAGCTGTTAGCTCTGCACTTACTTCTGTGACTGTCCAGTTGGTCAAATACACAAGGTGCTCCCCTGAGGGCCTGAGGCATACCAAATGGCAGATAACACTACTAAAGGAAAGGTTCTTTACAAAGGCCCTCACTGCTATTTCCACCTAGGCCCTGGACTCCCTCACTCCTCCAAGTCTTGAGTGGATCCAAAGCCTCCATCTCTGGCCTTTGGCTGTGCAGGGGTAGGATGTCTGTGCACAAGTCAGGCCTTCACTCCTGGAAGAAATATCCTCCCTGCAGATGAGCTAGAGCCTCTGGCCCTCACCAACCCATGCCTGTCATCCCACAGGGTCCAGCCCCATCTTGAACTCAGTTAATTCAATTGAAAAAAAATCTGAATTCCTTTAAGCTAAATAGTAAGATTGTATAGACTACATGCATTTACTTGGTATTTGTATCCCATGTTAAAAATAGGATGTCTTGTGGGGACTAGGTTTTATCAATATGAGAATGACTCTTCCCATTAGATCCCCCTTTCTACCAAGATGGTGATGAGCCAACTTACTGGTTAGTCAGTGACATGCCCTGGATTTGGGGAGCACTTCGGTGGAACCTGTGAATGTCAGACTTAAGAGTTGGGGATGTTTCTCCATTGCCCATGCATAGGTTACCTAAGCCTGAAATAATTCCCTCTTCCTTTACCTTGTTCTCTCATTCATTTTGTACAGTTTCTTACAGCCTTGCAACTTTCTCAATAGGATGCTGCCTAATTCATGAATCATTTAAGAAAGATCTTGAAAATTAACTTGATTGGATTGTTGTTACTCAACCCCTCCTAGCTCAGCTCCACTAATACTCTAGATGAGGAATAGAGAAATGCTTTCACGCAACCCCTTAAATGGACCAAAATGGATCAGAACAGAGATTTAATCTTGTTGACATTTAATCTTCCAGACTCTCCTCCTCATTGACGTTGGAACCCATGTTACGCACTAGCATCCCTGTTCCTGCTGGCATATAGGAAGTAGAAAGATGGTCATTGTAGTGCGCTGGTTCCTTCATTTGTAAAATAACAAATATAAAATGATTAATTAGCCATTGCCCAAATAAAACTTCATTAACCATTTTCCACATGCTGGGCTGGATGCTAGAAGTACCTAGAACATAAGGTAATATGGTTGCCTCCTTCCAGGTGTTAGACATTTAGGGCAGGGAGGGCAATAACTAAAGAAAATTAAGCAGCCAACTGTACCCAGGACTCCAGGAAATGCTAGTGCTGATAAAGCCTGGGGAGAGCCAAGAAACACCCAGAGGGGAGAAAGGCAGTGTCCAGCCCCAACCTACAAGCAACCTACAGTAAGACCCAAGGAGAGCAAGAAACACCCAGAGGGGATAATTCCAAGAAATTGTCAGGTCTTTGAGCCATGAAACAATTCCCTGAACTGCTGGAGACCAGCTCCAGCAAGAAGTTGTGTCAGGGGTCTCAGAGAGGAGAGGACGGCGTCACCCAAGTTTTCTCTTGGAGGACTGAGGGGAAGTGGAGCGAGGTAGAAATGAGGTAGACACAGACACCTCTCTGGTGCAAGTATCTCCGACTGAGGGTCTCAGCGGGTCTTTATTTATACCTTAAGGCGAGTGATGAGATGACATCAGCATAAGCATCAAAGCAGAACAGAAACAATCATTACATACTTTCTCATGAATATACAAAGACCTTCTTGATCTCATACTACAAAAGGACACTTCTTTAATCTGATTAAGAAAATCCACAGGGACAACTACTCTCCTAGGTACAACTCATTTTCTAACATAATCAATTGTCTAAGACAGTACAATGTTCAGTAACAATCAATCATCCTGTCAAGCCTTCCTAATTTTGGAGTGGACATGGAAGTCCATTGTTACGCTCTATTACTAAAATCAACCCATTCCCTAGCACTCAATTCATGTAGCCTATTATCAATTACTTCAAAGTGATCTAAAACAACTCATCAAATCTATGTAAGTTCTACTGAAGTCTAACTCTGAACTAGAAATTCCTAACCTCCACACAACCTGCGAACTGTTAGCCTTTCGCATACACCGGAGATGTATTGTTGCCACAAACAGGTACCCCCCAGGTTAGGCGATGGTTTCCAAGCACAGCTGGCTCAGGGCAGCTTGTTCTCCATAGTTCTCAGGGCCGAAACATTTCTTTCCTAACTATATCTTTAACAATTTTTACTTCTTTTGTGATAGTTCATGCGTAAGAACAATATGCCAGTTGTCACCTGGGTCCGAATTAGGTTTTCACATGCCAATTAATAACTAACTTACTTCAGCATTAACCAAGAACAAAGAGGAGAGCATTGGCAGGCATTGCCATGGAGACTCCCTAGTTCAGATCTTCTTTGGGAAATGCAAGAACTCCCCTCTTCTGGGAAGTACAATTTCCCTCTTCGGGGGAGCACAGGGACTCCCAGCTTCTCGGGAATCTCCCCCAATGCCCGGACCTTGTCAAGAGTCAGCATGGGAGGCGCAGTCTGCCGCCCTGAACACCTGCCCCACCTCCCAAAGGCAGGGCGGAGTTGGGTGACATCTTGGCTACTCAGACCAAAGGCGCTCTGGCCACAACATGCTACAGAAGGGGGAATGACAGAAACAGCTGCCTGGACCAATACATCAACCCCTCAGGAGTGTTGATATGCAGCTAGAGGAAATACACTCCAGGAAAGGAAGGAGGAAACAGTTCCTCCTTGCAATTGTTCCCTTGCAATTGTTCTTACCCAGAACTGGGCTAGTCACACCTTTCTGTCTCTAAATAAACATTGCTTTTGCTTCTGCTAAAGATGTGGCTATAATTCTCACACCATAGCCAAGAATCAAGGAAACCCAAAATCCAGGAACCCCTAAGCCCGACAACAATGGTACTTGGAAGGCCTGAAGAATGGGTCATGGGGAGGCTGAAACATTGAGTATCCAAGGGCCTCCCCTCTCCCCAGGGGGTTACCCCTCATATACTCCGTTTCCTAGGACCATTCTCTGTCCAGTTCTAGAAATAGAATTTATGCGTAGGGCCCAAGGGATCAGAAGCAACCCTGAGATTTAGCTCCCCCATTCCAGAACTTTGAGTGTGGAATAACAATTACCATTTATTGAGTATGAACTCATTTAATTACAAAAGACATCCTCGAGTATTTGTGATGCTGTGATTTATATCAGATACATATTTTGTTTTAGTCTCCTTTCCCACACTGAGCTCTTAAACCCTTGGAATTTCCTAAGAGTGGAGAGCCATAAAGTTGTCCTTCGTTATGTCAATGAGGTGACTTTGGGAAGCCTCTGAGGATGGCACTTAGGCACTTAGCAGGACCAACCACATGATGAGAGGGTTGAAGCTTTTAGTCCCGCTCCTCCCCCTTCCCCATTTCCAGGGAAGCAAGTGGGACTAGAGATTGAGTTCAATTGCAAAAGCCAATGATTGGATCTATCATGCTCACATAGTGAGATCTTTATAAAAACCCAGTATGTTGACTTTGGAGAGCTTCCAGGTTGGTGAATTTGGGTAGATTTGGAGACAGTGGAATGTTCAGAGAAGGCTCCAAATCCTTGCTCTATACCTTGCCTTAAGTATCTCTCCCAACTGTCTATTCCAGAGTTTATCCTTCTATAATAAACTGTAGAGTAAACTGGTTTCCTGAATTCCATGAGGGGCTCTAGCTGCATATCAATCAAACTCAGTGAGTCATGGAAACTTCTGATTTATAGTCACCCAGTGAGAAACACAGGTAACAACCAAGATTTGAAATTGGCGCTGAAGGGAAGGCAGTCTTATGGGACAGATGCCTTAACTTGCGGAATATGATGCTCTTTCCAGGTAGAGAAAGTCAGAACTGAGTTGAATTGTAGGACACACAGCTGGTATTGCAGAATTGATTTGGTAGTGGGGGAAAATTTCCCAAATATTGTAGTAAGTGGTCAGAACTTGAGTATTATTTCTACTTCACTGATGAGTAAAGAGACTCTGAGAACAAGTTTTTAATACCTCAGTCAGGCAATTTTGGTCATTCAGGTTGAATATGCCCCCTGATCATCATACTAGGTGCTCACTCAGATACCAGGTCAACAAGCGCGGCATTGGTATAGCTATACCTCCATGAAAGAGGGACGAGGATAGAACTGGCTCCATTTTTCCCTTCCCACTTACATGTAGTCCCAGTATGGCATGAAATGGACTTGGCTACTGGGGACTTGGGATAGGACTAGATGTCAGGTGGACCTATATAACACAAAAGACAGGTGGGTCGAGTCTCTTGCTTTTCTAGCATTGACTTACACTTTGGTATTGCTGGAAGGGGACTTAGTGGAGACATGTGTAAGAGAGATGTAGAAACACATGTGAATAGGGACTTGGAGGAAACCTATGGAGGAGAAACACCTGGGGAGACATATCTTAATCCTTAGCAGAGACAATGGCAGTTGTTACTTGACCTCATAATGTATTATGTGTTTTATTTTTAATTTTGACTGTCTCCTTTTGACCCTGTTTGACTGGGCATTTGTCCATGTAGAGAGGAGTAATTTTGGAGGTTTTGTTGGGAAAGTATTGTTTAAAATCCTTTCTTCTTCTTCTCTCTCTCTGTCCCATACACACCAATTCTATTAAAATAATCTTTCACATAGGCATCTGCTTCCTTTGCCTTTGTGCATGTAGACAGCAGAATCCCTTTTAGAGTACACACCCTTAACAGTTTGGGTGGGGGTCCCTGGGTGCTCCTCAGTTATACACTAACAGTACCACTCAGAACCTTAAAACACTGAGTGTTCAGTTCAGATGACAGTGATCCTAGTTAGAAGACTCACTCCTTAGTTGCATTCAGCACTAAGAAGTAATTTTTCT